TTTTTACATTTAATTTTCATCTAATTCTCATCAATTACTCGTAATAATTCATTTTATTTTCACGGTAATTTAAACTTTTAATTGAAATTGTCAAGTGTCAATTTTCGGGAGTTCATTTAAAAAAATTTTTCATTGAGAATTTTTCTAAGGAAGGAATTCAATATCAATTATCACGATAATTATGAATTTTAGGAGAAAATATCAAGAGATATTTTTTGTGGTAAATTGAAAAAGCTCAAAAAAATTCCTCGAGTGTTTTTCTCTCAAACCGACGGTTCTCTAGATAAATAATGAATAAACTCGATCTTTCTGGAATTTAATAATTTCGTTACAGAAACGAAATGAAAAATGTTAATAAAAAATAATTTAAAACATAAATTCCGTTTTATTACGGTATCTTTAAGTGTTGGAGGGTTGTATAAAACCAACACTCATGTTCTCCGTACGTAGACACTTGTTTTTATTAACAGCAACTCTTGTTTTTCAGGGAAAAAAAAAATAACGAAAAAGGGAGAAGAAAGGCATTTGGAGTAATTACATCGCAGTCAGCATTTCCGTGGGACAAAAAAAAAGAACGGATCGTGAAAGATAAAAGGAACGACTCTGTATAATGGCATTTTTATTCAGACTCGTAATGAGGAGCCAAAGGGTATTAAATCTTTCTTCTTTCATTCCCCCCGAAATTGTGCTTTTCACGAAAATCATTCATTTCGCTACAGTAATTGGACGAGCATTCGCTGAAATTTTCATTACTCAACAAAATCCTTCCCCGAAATTTTCAAATTTTTTAAATCGATGATTAACGAAATATAAAATTTTATCAATTTATCTCATTTTTCTGCAGAATTTTTATCAATTCCCATTGCCATCAATATTTTTATTACAATTCCTAAATATTCAATAAACAAACTAATGAACCAATGAAATAACAATTGACTTGGATTTTTTTTTTATTTTCTGATCCACCCCGAAAAATCAAAAATCAAAATTCAATTCAATTATCAATTCTCCATTAATTCCCATAATTACCACTACTTTTATCAAAACACCTAAATACCCAATAAATACCCGATCAATCACCAAAGAATTATTCTCCCCCGATTCACCCCCCAAAAACAAATCCGGAAAATTCGTGTACCCAATTCCCCGCGAATTTTCCCCAACCGAGTGGATTCCACCCTTGGACATCAACTTGTAGACGTACCCCGGGTGCAAACACGTCAGACCCCGTAGTAGACCGCATAACAGAACCCCAGTAACCAGGGGGTTAGAAAATAAGGGGCGATAAGAGGGGAGGGGGGGGGGCAGAGAAAGGGGGTGAAGTGAAAGGGGTGAGTTTGTCGTCTGGATGGCTCGAGTTGTCAGAGGCTAGTGAATAAAAAAAAAAAGAATTTACCCACCAGCCGAGAACTGGACGAGAGCTACCCCCCCCCCATTTTCCCTCAATGACGTACATACACATACATATATACACACATATATATAAACCGATGTCGAGAGGGTGAACTACAGGGTAGGAGGAGGAATGCGGCCCAACCGAGGGTACGATCAATACTCCGCCACGCCTCGCACCAACGAATCACTATACCACCGTTTTCTCTTCTAGGTCTAATGTATGTATATATGTTACAATGAATACCAGTCACCTTACCCCCTTTATCCACCTTTTTGCGCCCCCCCCCCTGACCACCCACTGCCACCCACTGCCACCCACTGCCACCCACTGCCACCCACTGCCACCTACTGCCACCCATTTTCATCCCCTCAATCTACCCTGCGGTCCTATGGAACTTGACTTCGGTAATGGGGAGGGCCCTTCCCACTATTGGGAATAATAATTCAACAAATTGCGTAATGCAGAGGCAAAAGGATATTATGTTGATATTAAGGGAACGTAAGTTCATTATTTATGATGAATTAGCTTGAAATGTGAAAATGTACAGAGGGTACTCGTGGGAGGTAAAAATTTGCATTTAGATGAGAGTGAAAATGATTTGGGGGGTACTGGGGAATTCAGAAGTCGTGGGGTTTTTTTTTTCATGTTTTCATGTTTTTTTAATTATTGAATTACACGGGAGAGATTTTTTTTTTTAGGGGAGAAAAATGGGGTTGGAGTTTTTTAAAATTATTTTCAGTGGTCGGTTAATGGGGAATTTCGGGGGTTGAGAGGGGTTTGACGGGATTATGGTAGGGAACTTTTTTGGAGGAAATTTTGTTAGCTGCGGAAAAGGTCTTGTCAGTTTTTGGGGTGGGTGTACGGGATTCGGAGTTAATCGGGGTTGATCGAACTGTGAATTTGAAGTATTTGGGTTTCTGTCGGATAATCAATTTTTTTTGGGTTCTCGTTGAATTACGGAGTAGCGAATTGTTTTAGGGAAAAATTGTATCTACATTTTTCAGAGGAAATTACCTCAGCTTCCAAAAAGGTCCTATGAAATTTTTCGATAAACGTCTTGGATTCGGGGTTAATGGGGGTTGATTGAACTGTCCATTTCGAGTCGTCGCAGTTTACGTTGAGGATGAATTTTTAATATTCCCATCAATTTGCAGGATATCAAATGGTTTCAGGGGAAAATAGCAAGAACATTTTTTAAAGGAAATTCCCTCACCTACAAAAAAGGTCCCACGAACTTTTCCCCTACAATAATGGATTTCGAAAAAAATGAGCGAATTCTGTCCCTCAACTGCTGAATTTTTTACATTCACATCGATTTGTATTCCCCACGAATTTCCACTGTCCCCAGTGATGTTTTTTTTTTCTCCACGTATACCAGATTGCAACGTGTAAGTGGATAGACAGAATAACTCAGGGATGGATAAATACAATACAATAGAACCCATGAATCCTTGCTATTTTCGTTGATACCACAGACCCTCGGTGGTTGCCTCAACTCGTAAATTGAGGTCGAAACTGTCAAGGGGATTGTATTATTCTTTTTCCAAGCGCAAGCGCAATGCATTGATAGAATTGAACAGAACCAAAGGGATTAGGATAGTAAAAACTATCCACAGATGAAAAATAAAAAGCAGCACGAAAATTAGAGCGAATTAAAAAAGCCCAACAATAAATAATATCCGAAAACAAGTGCCACCATTTCCCCCTAATATCCCAGAAATTCATCAATCAGAAAGAGAAATGATGATCATATACAGCTGATTGATAACACATTAGCTGATTCTGAGAAAATCATTCTGGTTGATGGGAAAAATAAAATGAAAAATTGCGAGATACTTGGTGCTCTAAATTTGCAACTCACACGCACGTGGTGACACGTGCAGGAGAAACTTCTAAAAATCGATAGCCACCGGAATTCGATGCCTCTCGTCTGACAATTCGAATGGATTCTATTCTAGAACTGAAGGAAAACCTCTGGCTCTGACTATAGGAATAATGAGAATGAGGAAAAATGAAATAATTTTAGATCTCATAATGAAATGCAGAATTGGGACACGTCGCAACAGTAGATCCAGTAATTAATTCTATTTTTGTTGAAAAAGCGATCTAACCTTAAAAAAAAATGGAGATTAATTCTAGCTCCAAAAATCACTCTTTATTACCGTCTGTGAACTCAAGACTATCGTTACCATGTCATAAAGTCGAGCTGAACGTTCAAACGACGATAAAAAATAAGTGGATGGACAATTAATTAACGAAGTGCTAAAAGAGATGAGTCTACGGAATTTTGCATTTGGTTTTTTGCGGATATCTGACCATCTGCGGGAGTATCGGAATTTTCGTGAGGACCTTTTTTGTAGAGCGAGAAAAATGCTAGAAAAACTTTCCTATCAAAATTTTCCGATCTCTGATAGATTCCGAAATTATTTTGATAACATAAAAAGAAAATCGAATTAATGTCCCATCGAGTTTTTCGCGAATAACACGGAATTCATCGGAGTACCAGAATTTCCGTAATGACCATTTTTCTAGAGCACAACAAGACCTTGAGAAATGATTCTACAAAAATTTCGCCATCTCCCATAGGTTCCGAGATTTTTTTAATACAAAGACCATTCAAGTCAATGTCCTATTTATTTTTTGTCGAGTATGTCAGAATCAGTGGGAGTACCATAATTTTCGTAATGACCTTTTTTGTAGAGCCTGCGGAGGCCTAGAAAAAAGGTCCTACAAAGATTCCCGTATCTCCCACCGATACCGAGATTTCGACAAAACAAACTCCCTAAAAAATTTGAAATGAAAAGTCAATGATTGGGTATCACTCCCCCGACCTCCAGACGGCAAAACCCCAATGTTTATAAACTCCACCCAAAAAACCAACACCCCAAGAAAATCCTCCCACCTCTCACAATCACCAGTCGATTGAAGGTTAACCTGTCACAACCCCAGATAATACCGCAGATCGATCATCTCCACAAACTCGAAATCTCCCTCTCCCCCGCCCCCCTCCACCAAAAAAAAATCCTCTCAAAATCCCCAATTACATAATTACCAACAACTCACCTGACAAATCCTCACGTCCTCTTCCTCCAATAAAAAATCGATTCCAAGGAGCCTCTCACCTCGATCCTCAAAATCTCCTCACCCTCGCGAATCCGAAGAAACAAAAATGAAAATCCAATCACTCAGGTTAACGAAAAAAAAAAAAATCGATGGGGGGAGGGAGAGGAACACTAAAATTCAACAGATCACCAAATTCACACCTCCAACTGAAGTTTCACAATTGTTATTAAACAGTGCATTATCCTGACAGCATTGTTGACTCCACCGAATGATTGTTAAAACTTAATAAAACTGAGTAAAACGTACACGAAATTCACTTGCACCAACACTCGATGACGTCATTCCAACAGCCGGACAGCGGCAACATGGATTCCGGTCTCTCCGGGCACTAGAACCGGCTTCTCCCTCTTCCCCGTCTCTCACTCCCTCCACCAACCACCCCACAACACCCCCCAACACCACCTCACACCACCTCACACCCCACCACCACCCACTGCGACTTATGTGGGTGGATTTCCATATGACACCACCATCTGGCGCCACCTGCATCTTCCAATCCCATCGCCATCTTTGTTTTTCCCTACCACTACCACCCCTCCTTCCCCTCCTACCCCACCACACCCCGTTGATCAGCTGATTCCTGATTTATTATTTTGGCGCTACACTTTTCACAATTTCACGGTTTTTATTTCACCTCTGACTATTTTTCTGGAGTAATTCTAGTGATATTTATAATAATGTGATTTATTTAATTGATGGTTGTGGTTATTGTTGTATTTAAAATGTGGATTTAATTATTTATCGTGTGGTTTTGGATATTTAGGAGAGATAACTGGGCACGTGTGTTTAGGATTGATATCGGAAGAAGACTGAGGGATTTTTGAATGGTTTGTTGATGTTTTGTTTTGGGGATTATTCTGGGTATCGAATCGATCGACATTTCCGAGAATTTATGAGGGAATAGAAATCCGGGAATTCTTGGTATTCAACTCGTCGTTTGAAATATTCACGAATAATTAATCAACTGATTATGGAGTCAATGAATTATTGATCTTTCAGTGAAACTCCAAAAAAATGAGTTCATACGTTTCAAGGATAAATCAGCTGGACGCGGTGCAATTGGACGATGAAATTCACCGGATATTCGTGGCACGAGCCCAGGAGATATCCCGATTATTCACCCCAGGTACGACCGACAAATGGTCACCAGAGATAAACGCTGGATTGCGCTCGCTCATCTGGATATTTTCCCTGGGTACTGGAAAATCGACATTCGGTCAAAAATTATTGGATCTAACCTACATCGATTTAACACGAGCAAAATCACTACTCATCCTCATTCTCTCAGTCCTCCCGAAGTACCTGGAGGACAAGTACGTCGACCCCAACAGAATTTCGCTCAGACCTCGTGACAAAATCCTAAAAAATTATCTCGAGAGAATTTTCAACATTTTTAATCTCCTGAGTTTTATTAATCTGTTGTTGTTCCTGAATCGAGGCACCCAGCCGACGATTTTGGAGCGACTCCTGGGGATCTCCAGCAGGAACATCGCCTCGACGAGACCCAGAACCATCGGATACTCCTACATGACTAGGGAATTGCTCTGGCATGGGCTCATGGAGCTGTTCACCATCGGTTTACCTCTCATCAATTTTCATTACTTGAAGAGATGTTTTAGATTCTCTCGACGAGATAAACCGGATGCACAGGTGATTCCAGTAATGACTGGCAATACTTTATGCCCCCAGTGCGATGAAACTCCTGTTCTACCTCGTCATGCTGGTTGCAGTCATATTTACTGCTATTACTGCATCAGTGCGCAGTTCAAAGTCTACGAAAGTTTTGAATGTGTGGCGTGTGGCACTGAACTCCACCTCAGGAACATGAAGACATACTCTGTGGCTTCTTGATTTTTTTAAGATGTATATTCGTGGGAGGATTGGATTTTTCGGGAGAGAAAGGTAATGTGCGATAACTCATGTGATAATTAATTAATTCAAGGGAATTAATTAGTTATGGTATTTTGAACGCGATAACTTCCGGACCCTGAAGGTATAAGTTTTTTTTCTTCTGCAATTTTACCGAGTCTGAAGATAAATATTTTTGTAAAGTCAATTAAAATAATTTTAATGAATAAATAATTGGAGGTAAAGAGTGAATTATGAATTTTTGGCCAGAGACTGGGACTTTTTATTCATCAGTTCAAAATTCCCACTATTTTTTCATGAAAAAAAAAAAAAAAAGAAATAATAGTAATCCATAGGATCACACAGACGTACACAGCATACCATTTGCATATCAAAATTTTCGATTATTATTATATAAAAAAATATCATGCAGCAATATATATAAAAAGACATTATTTTTTTTTTCGTTTTTTCATAACAATATTTCATACTCTGTTCGAACATCTGTGAATCATGTGGGCAGAGTGAAATGGACGAGCGAGTAACAATATATATATTTTTTCAATTAATTTCAAATGTATCATTCGCTTGATTGTGTAAGTACAAATTGCTCAAGTGCGCGTGCACTTTATTTCCAATACAATGATTAAGTGGAATGTCTACGAGTACAATAACACAAGCTGCATATTGATTTTCCAACAATTTTCACTTTTTCAATCTCACGATATTTTAAAATAACACTTAATTATAAAAAACGCAGCGACGGAGTCAGTTGACTTTTCTCAGTTCCAAAGGATTTCTTCGAACCTTCGAGTCCACAGTGGCATACATTAAATACAATCGCTACTGGATGGAAGAACAATGTAGAATTGACGGTGAATGTACGGTGGATCAATTCTAAATTATTTAAAACAATTATTTAACATCGTGAGATATGTCATGTGGGAATTAACATTTACATTATTTAACATCCCCTCGCTCGCCCCTTTCAACCCCCCACCGAGGCATATCCTCACCAATCTTCACATTTTCTCTCATATTTTCGTTTGCCCTTCATTAATCACTAGATTAATTATTCCATTTGTATGAACATCGGTGAAATTTTTGTTTATCTTCATGCAGAATTATCAACATTATCATTAATCTTCAGACCTGAATTACATTTCTCTCGCCCACTCAATTGCGCTGTACCTCGAACCTCGTTAATTAATTTCAAGTCATGCAAAAAAAAAATGTGTGAAAAAAAATGGAAAAAAAAAAGTGTTTCGACTGATTTCAATGAGTACGAGCGCAAGTGAGTCTCAGTTTATTCGGACAGACAGTGGAATTTATTGACCGAAATTATTCAAGACACCAAAGGGATCGAAACAACGGACGATATTACACGAACACAATTGGATTTATCATTTAGGTTTCATGTGAATTCCTTCTATCGTTCAATCGTTTAAACTCTCATTCGACAGATTTTTTACTGCTTTTCGCCAGGGCCCACTCTAGTTCGGTTGAGAAGCGGCAGAACGTAATTTTTTTTCCCATTGATTTTTTTTTTATGAGAACTTTGATCCAGGAATTCTCCGCCAAATGGGTGATTAAAATACCGGTGAGAGGACTTAAAAAATTTGTTCACTTCCCCAGGAGAGGATGAAACTAGTCCAGAGCCATTTGAAGCCCTCAAGTTAATTTAATAATTGTTTAAAAATACGAGGTGGAGCGCCGCCATCTTCGAGAGTCTGTGCGCCGCCGTTTTTCACCACCTCGAATTTTTAAAAACATATTCAACTGACCTGCGATTTTCAAATCACCTTGAACTCGTTCCATTCAATTCTTATAAAGTGAAAAAATTTGTAAAACCCTTTTTCTGACATTTCCACCGGTAATTGACTGAAAATTCGTGAATTAAAATTTCCATTACATTCAGCCACTCCCCCACCAATTCCTGTGCAATCTCTCACCGAAAAAAAAAAATAATAAACACTGAAAAATAATTTATGTACTTTGTAAGTTAAAAATCCTCGTATTTGTTACTATTAATGGGTCAACGATTTAATTCGGGGTAAAACAGAATCGTTCGCTAGGTAATCGGACACCTCCCAATGAGTCGAACCGATAATCTCGAAAGAAAAAAAGAAATAAAATAAAAAAAAAAAAGTTCAACAAACCAGAAGTAATAAGTATCGTGTGAGAAATCGATTTGGCTCAAGGCGAGTTGCTCCCATAAAGGCGTAAGTGAGCAGAGCTCGTTACCTAACGCATAATATTCTCAAAGAAAAAAAAAAAACTGAATTGAAATAATAAGTTATGGCGATATTTCACTGTTCGCATGTACCTTATTCTTGTAAAATCGTACCGTTTCGGTTTCCAATTAATTTTCACATAATATTTATATATTTATAATTCATCCAGAGAATTATCCCCCACCACTGGTTAAAACGAGTCCTACGTGGGATGAAATGGAACCAATCCTCAAATTTTTCCCAATTCCGTGAATAAAAAACAAATAGCAAAGTAGAAATTAATTTATATCAATGAATAATTACCCCCAACAATTTTCAGTTCCATTTTACCTCACAATCTAGTGGTGACCGCGCATTTTTCATGAAAAAAGAAAAAAACAATTGCATAAATCGGCTATTAAATAGAATTTCATCGCCCCAGGACGTGCATCCAGCGTCCCCCTTATTAATAATAAATAGTATATCGTTATCTGTATCTATAAAACTCGAAAACAGCCATTATCATTGATTCAACGATTCTCGCAGTTGATCTTCGAGCTTAGTCTCAAAATCCACTTTCTTTTATTCTCAATAAATATGAGAAGCCGCTGCATGCATTAATCCAGACCAATGACACCCTATCCCATTTTTTTTTCCCTTTTCCACTTTTTCAATAAATTTTTCCCTTTCATTTTTAATTAAGTCTTTAGAGTGCCTAACACTATGATCGTATCATCACAGACAGATTATAAATTTCCACAGTTTCGTTACGATTTACTTTTTGCAGATTGAACTTTCAAATTCGTTGACGTTATTGCCAGCAACGACGTGTGTAACGAATCCCTGAGGGATGCAGCGACCTCGTTCACAACAATTTAGCGCTATTATTTAATGAAAAAAATGGAGACATCAACGCTCGATAGCACGAGGGAGTTGACAGCAAAGGAATAGTGAAGAGAAAAAAAAAAGATTTAAAAAAAAAACAAATAATGTAGCAACTTGGCTTTCCCCTGGGCTCTCAATAAATAAAGCATGCAATGTTATTGAAAATTTTCCCAAAAAATACTCCCTCGACTGATGTCTCTCCATTACTCCATTTTAAATTGATGATTCAACTTATTTGATAGTGAAGTCTTTTCCTCTACCATTTTCCTTCTACGCTGTTGCCATTCGTCGTGGAGGGAATCGTCAAGGATGCCCTACGCTCAGCTCCTGGTGCTGCACTTCCAGAAAATGGCTTTGTACGTTTCTTTAATTCTAGAGGGAATGAAAATTATTTATCAAGTATTCATTGAAAAATTCGTTTAAATATCAAGCCTGAAACTGCGAAGAAGTGAATGAAGAAGTGATGACGTACCAGCAATGAGAAGCATCATCTTGCGTCTAGCCCCCCAAGCAGTGACTCCAATATCCATCAAATCCTCTTCAGTCAACGACACAAAAGTCGACATATCGATTTCATGTGACGATAGCATATCTGATTAAGCGAAACCCATTAATGTTAGAAGCCAAAAATAATTGTTAAATGAAAGCTGATGAAATGGCACACAACAATGAATAAACAAATTATGGACTCACCAATCCACTTCTTGTCGAGTCCAGCATTGATCATGGAGCTTGCCAAATCATTGAGACTGCCATTGAGAATTTTATCAAGTCTGCTTCTGGGTGTGTGATCAAGATATCCAGATGTCATGGCAATGGGTGTTGGACACTCAGCATCAGCTTCACCCTCGAACCTCATGGAGGGTGTGTAAACGAGAGGTGTGCTGGGATCATCCCACAGATCAGATGGATCCCTCTTCTGATTATCACTGGGACTTAGCGATGGCATTGTCTGACTGAGTCCATAACCAGCCCACGTTGGTGTTGGAACTCTCAGCTCCTTGGCATTAGGTTTCACCTTCATCGCCTTCATCGCCATTATTTTTTTCTGCTCGTAATCAAAACCAGTGAGATGCCCAGACGAATGAAATCCCTTCTCCATTGACAAATCAGTAAGCATTGCAGACAGCTCTCTTGTCTGATTGACATCAGTATGAGATGAACCAATTGGTGATATATTCCTGGGACTGACAGCTGGACTTGACAATGTACTAGACGCACTGCTCAGAGATAAATAAGCACTCGAGTCTTTTCCATCACTTCCACCTTTGGAATTGGTGATACCGCAGTTACTGAAGTGTGAGTTGGGGTGGAAACCAGGAGGATGATTCTGGGGAATACCCAGGAGATTTTGACCAGGTATATTCATCTGCGCCTGCTGCTGGCTCAGAATATTCGCCTGCATGGCGTGACGTGCTGCTAGCAATTGGGCATTTGCATTTGGAAATGCAAATGGATGATGCATCAGTGGTGAAAACATCGAGGGTATGGGGGGTAGACCCCAGTGGGGTGACAAATTCATTGGATTTGGTGAATGAGAAAGGGGAGATACGCAGTAGGGTGATGGAGACTGGGTGTTGATAGTGAGAAAATTGGTGAATTTGTCGGAGATATTTCCGTTTAGAGAATTCTGGAAAACATTTTGTGAGTTGGGTACGTTGTAAGTTGCTGGTATATCAGCGATTATTTTTGGATCATCCAGGGACAGCAGTTGTCTTCTTGCCTCGTAGATGTTACTGGCATTACGCTCAACTCCTTTTATTATCACTGATAGGCTGCTCTGCTTTGGCTTGTGCAGGACATTTATGAAAACATCGAGGCTCTGCATCAGTTGGGAAATTGTTTCTGTATCCACTGATTGTCGTGAGCTCTCTGGCAAATCGAACATCAACACCAGGGGGAGAGAACCCAGTAGCTGCTGGCGTGCCATGTACACGTTGTTTATTGCTCCTGTTATTATTACGTTGCTCTTCTTCAGGCTTGGAATGTTGGGATCACCAGCGTCTGGAAAAATTATTTGAGTTGATGTACGCTGCATTATCATCTTCAAGTTGCTGCTCTGCTTTCCCAGAACTATGCTGTGATGTTGGGGAGAGATCTCCATCGACATCTGGACTTGGATCTGGTTCTGGAAATTTTTTCAATATTTTTCTGTCAATTTCTCAGACTTCAATTTTCAATCAATCAATAAAATTACATAAATTGAGTAATTAAAATTGTTTTATTTAGTAATTATGTTAGTACTCTAGGTAATTTTTTTCTCCTCCAGAAGAAGACGTGAGGTCTTGAGCTTTGGAAAAAATTATTATGCCATTGGCTTGCATTTTTGCCTGCATTATCATCAATAATTTCATATCGTCAATTTATTTTCGCTTTGAGTCAAGATAAATAATGTCTTATCACAAACATGTTGACACCAAAAATCCCTGGTGAGTGTCAGAGGAAGATTATTGTGAGACTCACCGCAAGATTTTTGCACATGTGATGGATGAGGAAGACTGTGGCCTCTTTGACCTGGAGTACTTCCCACTCGCAGCCCTTGACGACAACGAGGGTTGCATGGAGCTTTGGTCTTGTTCGGAACATCACCTGGACGTTGTACTTCTCCTGGATCTTCACGATGTAGGGAGACGTGGGATCCGGATGACCATGAACAGCACCCATGATCGGTAGTTCGAATGAGAAGATCAGAGGAGTTAAATTCTGATGACAAAAAAATTCATTTGCATTTATTTCTAACTCCTATAAAAATTCTAGAAAGACTTGTAAAAATAATTATTCATCTTCAAGAAGAAATTGGGAAGACAATATTTTTTTTGCATGATCTTGTTGATGACCAGTAGTTATTTCTTTCATTGTCGACTCTTATTTATTTATTTATTTATTTATTTATTTATCATTTATTTCTAACTGTTATAAAAATGCTAGAAAGACTTGTAAAAATAATTATTCATCTTCAAGAAGAAATTGGGAAGACAATATTTTTTTTGCATGATCTTGTTGATGACCAGTAGTTATTTCTTTCATTGTCGACTCTCTGGTCTGAATAATTGTGAAATAAATAAAATACTGACTCTGCAAATAACACGAGACGCTGACGAAATCATGATTCCGACTCACAACCGATAAACTCCCATTGAATGTTCATTTAATAACTCTAAAAATACCTGTTTATCTTATCAAAAGGTATGAAAATTCTCACCAAAGAAAAAAATCCCAAAAATATACGAATAATGGTGCAAAACGAGGGACAAATTGTTGTAATTATTTTGACAAATTGACGTACCCTGACACGTGCCCGAGCCTTTTCCACACCCTCCATTTCACCAGCAATGGACACCTGATTGCTCTTCTCCTGGTGATTGCTCCGATTGCTATCAGGAAAATGAATGTGACACGCTGTCTCTTCCATCACTCGTTTTATCGTTAAACCTCCCTTTCCGATTATGTGCGAGTGATCTGTGTAGCTCACGTCTAATTTCATCGTCACCCGCATGCTCTGCTGTATAATTAAACAACAAATACAACAATAAAAATTCCAAATACCTAAATAATTCACAATATAAAAAATAAAAACAATAATTTCCGTTTCAATCAAAAAAATTCCATAACAATAATTCCGGAAAATATTATTACTAATATTCTATTTATAATCTTAAAATTTCTTTAATAATTAAAAATAATGATAATAATAATAAATAATAGATGAAAATAAAATGAAAACGGAATCTAAATGATAAATATTTTGAAAAAAATTGAGAAAAGGAAAATGAATGGAAATATTAATTAGTAATTATGAATGGAGTATCGAAAAATAATGAGAAATGAGAAGGAATATTTTTTTGTCTTACCCTTGTGTCTAATATTTGCATAATCTTCTCCTTAGCAGCACCCACGTCATCTACACGACCGGCGACCTTTATGTGTGGATCTGAAAATACATAAACCGAGTTATTTATAGGAAAAAAAAAAAAAACATAACGGTTTAGAATTATATACACCGAAAACACACAGATGTTACACAGTATATCTCTCGATATATTGACACTGATTATTGATAAGAGACAACTAAACATCTCGTAGCTTTTGTCTAGTGATAATCCGAACTGATACGAGTGATACGATGGAAATTGCCGGAAGGTCACGGCCGAAATTCAATATTTTTATTAGTAATTTAATAAAGCCATGGAATTAATTTGTTTATTTATACATTGATGGAGGAATAATAATCGTGATTAATTGCATCGGTAATTCGAGGAAACATTCTGTTGGTGAAATGAAATATTCATCAGATTGTGGAGCCCATGATTAACGGCTTTTGCATTGAGGACTAATAATTAATAAACAATTAATAATGAATTCCTCGATTTTTTACAAAGAAATTAATTTTCTCGAACAATTCCGAATATTAAAATATATGATTGATTATTAAATTCTTTGATTGTTAATTGATTGATTATTAAATTCTTTAATCATTTAATAATCAATTATTTAATAATAACTATTACGAAATTCTAATAATGATACAAGAGATAGGACTGTTTAAACAAACTCGAGAAATCGTGGAAAATCACCAGGGGAATTTCCTAAACTTTTCCATCGTGAGGATAGAAAAAAAATATTCCACCGTTGCGTGTAATTTCTCTAAATTGATTCCGTCCCCTTATCAATTAATTCGGGAGTATTTTTTTTATCTGGAGGGGGGAGGAAAAAAACTGACTACTTTCCAGGGGAAATTGGGATTAGATAGTGGAATGATTTACATCAGTCGAGGCAACAGAGATGCAATGAATCACCCGAAAAATTTTCCACTAGGAATTCAATGATAAATATGAATAGATGAAATGTTTTTTTTTATAATTATAATGACTCGTTAAAATTTTAAAGAATATTCATTACCTCACGTTTTGCTGTGGAGTTCTAGAATATTCATGAATAATAAAATATAATAATTTGGAATCAGTCAACATCTAGGAAATTTCCAGAAATTAAAGATATCGATTAACACTCTCTATTTTTATTCATTTATTGAATTCAAATCACATATTCGTGACGTATGCGATAGCCACTAGTCACGTAAGATTGGAATTGACGTAATTCCCAAGTGATCGCGAACCGCGTGACTCTGCTTGATTAATATCGAATTAATCCTTCTATTCCCCATTAACAAATTAATAATTCACCAGTAAAAATCGCTTCCACAAAACTGCACAAACGAGAAAGCTATCTGCGATCATTTTTCCGAAATATCTCTGAAACCACTGTAGATACAAAAATTTTTATTATTTGCATTTTTGTAGAGGTGACCAAAAGCTGGAAAAAAGGTAATTACAAAAATTTTGGTATCTCTCCCGGATTTGAAGATATCCCCGGAAAAGTGAGACGATAATTGATAGAGTGAGAATTTTCTCGTTTTTTGAAATATTTTTGTTTTAAATATTTTTTTCGTGAGAGAAATTTTGGATTTTGAGATACCGAGGGGTAAAATAATTGGGTCAATTGAAGTGTCGTCTCAATTCCATTGATCCCTCGATCCCACGCAATCACAAGACATTCCCTCCACCAATTGATGAATGATTGAACTGACCTTTCTTAGATTTAGCTCCAATCTTCAACCTGGATGGCCACGTAATGAAGGTGTTGGTCTCGTCCATAATCTAAAAAGTCAATTCCAGAATGAAACTTCAAAAAATCACCAGAAAAAACCCGAGCAGAAGCAACAGCGAGAGAAAAAAAAATAATGCGGAAGCTAGTCCAAGCAGTCGTCAATCAAAAAAAGGGGAAAAAGCGAATCTCACGAGTTATATAAAAAAAAAATTCAGCATAAATGAAAAATAATCTCACGCTATACCTGCCACCCATCAATGCCCAACTGTCCATAACAAAAATCAAGCTGACGTAAGAAGTCGTGAATTCAAGAAGAATTCGGGAGAAATAGAAAAAAAAAGAGAAAAATAGCAACAATAGGAAAAATGACGAGTGAGAGGATGAAAATATTTTTAAATAGCAAAAATAGCGAGATAAAAAAAAGGATTTAATCATCAATAAGGTCATTACCACAGTCATTTTCGTATCTGTTGATCTCTCAGTGGAAAGATCAGCTTGAATCACTAAAAAATCGGCGAATTACTCCAGCAATTTTCCCTCCCGCAAATGAAATTCATTATGTCATCATCTTACTTAACGATGTAATGGAAAAATCACGGATTAAATTGCCACTTTCACCGTTTGTTTTCACCTACAACTTTTTATTTTTCAGTTATCACTGATCTAACACTCGTCAGCACTTGTTGTACGCTAATTAATCGGTAATTAATGATGAATTCTTAGGGGAAGTGTCAGCAGGTGAGTGACTCGGCGATTAAATACACAAGGACAATTATTTAGAATGAATTTAACGTTTAGTTAGCGAGGACGGAGTTACGGAACCGAATGGTAAGACGGTACTGACTAATTCGAGATAATGTAACGGCAACTCACTCCTCAGCTATACCACTTCCCACTCGTTACCTTTTTTTTTATTTTACCCCACCAGAACACTTGGCGAGAGGTTTTTTTTTTTGGTTTTATATTCGTTATTTCTTATCTTTTTAGAATTTTAGAACGCGAGAATTCGGAAATTAGGGGAATCGGTGGATTTTATACAATTTATCTGACGATAATCATTTTTATTTTCAATATTGTATTTCTCACGGTTAAAAAAAATCAATTTCAATTTCAATTTTATTACTATCAATATTATTATTTTTATTGAAACAATAGGGTTTTCGGTTTTTTTTATAATAATTATAATAATTAATAAGTGACTGTATTTTTAGGCAATTAATTTCAATTTAAAAAATTTTTCTTTATTGTTTCGGTTTTTATTGATTATTCCGGATTTTTGGAAATTGGAATTTTTACGGAATCTGGAGGGTATGATTTATTTTCATGGAATTGTTTTTATAGAAAATTTTGTGTGAAATTTTGATTTTCTTGTGTAAAAAAAATCTCGACTGGAAGAAATTTCTTGTCAGCCAGTAGATTTATTGGGAATCGTGGGAATTTCGAGGGGGAAAGTGGGTAATTGGTATAGATCATACTGGATAAACTAGTTCGTCAATAAAAAAAATAATAGCTCGGGGTTCCGGGGTTTTTGCTGGTAACTTTCCAATTACATGGTCAACTGGATTATTCGGTGAGACAATTTAGACATTCTATTCCAAATTGACGAAGATGGGAATAGTAATAATATTATTCAAATGCTCCAGCCATTTTTGGGAGAGTATAAAATTTTTCTGGGAGTCTCTGTAATTTTTGAATAAATAAATCGTTACGTAGTTCTACTTTCGCTCTCGTTGGGATATATTTAGAGGCACCACGATGGGAAAATATTGAATGTATTTGAATGAGGTGTGAATTTACTGCGGTAATTTTCAACTGTGAAAATAAGTCAAATGATTGCATTAATTTTCAATTTTCACTAGCACTCGAGGGTGACAAGTATTTCAGACTGACCTTGCGAAAAAAAATAGTTGCAGACTCCGGTGTCTCGTCATCACCTGCAAGTAAAAATATCAATTCAATGTTCAAACAGAATGGATAATTCGTGGGAAGGAAAATGGTTTGAGGTTTCAGTAAAAAAAATCAAAGATTCCAGAATCACGAAATTTTGGAAAACTTCAATATTGATTCACGTGAAAACCATTGATTTTAAGGGAAAATTTCAAGAGACTTTTTCTTGGGGGAATTTAGTCAGAAAGGAAAAAGTTCTTTAAGATTTTTCTGTTAAATCGATATTTTTTGAGATATATCGATGTTTAAAAAATATGAAATTCGAGTGAAAGGGGATAAATCGAATTTTTCTGTTTTGTTGATTACTGATTAATGAAGAAATTATTGATTTTACGAAAAAATGTGAAAAAGCATTATTTCTCGGAAATTCACTATGCAGGAGAAAAGTTATGTGCCATTTTTCTGTGAAACCGATATTTCTGGAGGTAAACCAATAATTCCAGAAACTCGACTAATCTTCTCACTCGGTACGTTCGTAAAAATTGTTTAATTACGGATTAATTTACCGAGTAGCATTTGTTCAAGTTTGCGGCGATCGACCCGAAAGCGTTCCCGATGAAGTTCATCAAGACTGCTGAGTCTCAGGGTCTCCACGAGCTCGAGAAGTTCCTCTCTGCTCTCAAAGCCATGATGTCCAGAGAGGCTCGTAGTCGTCGTACCCTCCGAAGTCTCCGACATCGTCTCCACGGATCTCCGTTCAACCTGAATCAAGTCGTCCGGCTTCATTTCTCCCTCCTGCAAAAACAATAACAAAAAAAAAACAAATAAATGATAAAAATGCGACTAATCCCTCGACCTCCAAAGCCTAACACCTGTCTTCTCCAGGAATATCTCCGAAACCAACCGAGATATCAATTTTTTTATAATGACCTTTCACCTAGCCCTCAATTAGCTCTGCAAAAAATGTTCTAATGAAAATTTAATTATCTCCTTTAATTTCGGAGATATTTTCAAAATACTCGCCTAGTTGGACAATTTGGCTACCGAATTCTCGAAATCAAATCGAATTCGTTGATGATAAATTAAGAGTTTAAATTTTCGATACAATGACGGATTATTCTCAGGTAAATGGACGATAAAATCAATAAAATTCAAGCCAAACAGAATAAACAAGTCTTCAAGGTCACGATACCAATAGCCCGACGCCATTTCGTGGATTTGATTTTCATTTCGAGTCGAATATGTAAATTCAATCGTTACGTAATTCAATTTTTCAATATTGGATTTTAAACACAAGATAAAAATTTCCTCACAAGATACCAATCAAAATCTCATTAAATTATTCAATTGTAGTTGAATCTCTAATTAAATATCTCGTCTATTTCTCATTTTTCCACAAATTATTGTCTGCGTGATAAATAAAAAGAAGAATAATTCAAATTTGATTGCCAGAGAGAATTGTTCGAGTAAATATCCTGGAATCGTGGGAAAAAGGTTGGAAAGGTTGGAGAAATGAAAATAAATTATCTGAGGAATTTTTCAAAAATGGAAAAAATGGAAAAATGGCAAAAATGGAAAAAATGGAAAAGATGGAAAAGATGGAAAAAATGGAAAAAATGGAAAAAAATGGGAAAAATGAGAAATTCTGGATTAACAAATGATTGAATAAAGAGAAAATAAATAACTCACCTTAAAACACAGAAAAAAAAACACAAAACTGTAGTTGAGATGAAGAAATGAATCTAAATGACCGGCAACTGTGGAAGAAAGTGGGAAATGATGAGATTTTGAACGCAACCGAAAGGTGCGTTGAACTGTCGAAAAGGGCGACGTACTGCCTCGTATTTGTAATCGAAATAAATTCGAAATAAATAAGTAAATGGTGTAAAAACACGTAACCGAATTTCTGGGAAAAACAAGAGGTGTTCGATGGAATTATGGAAGATCTACCTGTTTCCAGAGCGTCGCACGGTCTACTGTGATTTATAATTCACTATTTAACTCGATAAATTGATGATATTATCTTGAGGTGGGGATTAACCTGTGATTTAACGTGATAAATTGGCGAATCAGGAGATTCGGTCGACCCTGAGGGGTCGGAGGACAAGGGGATGAGCTAGAAGGTGAAAAAAAAAAAAAATTGTTTACATCTTGGGAAATTCTGGGACTCTGGACAAAGCAAAACACATGTCTATCACTTATTGTTTCCATCTGAGATTCTTTTGTATTTCGAAAATATGAATTGAGGAGGTGATCGATAATATCCCAAGGATTTTTTCTATTCCAGAATATTTTATATTTCATTTTTTTAAATACCATAAGTCTGCGATTAATTAAAAATTACGATTGATTAGATTAAATATATAATTAATTATTGAAAGTACGTAATTATTGCTTATTTAGAAGAATAATTGATAATTGATCAGGAATTAATTATTATTTGATAAATAAAATTGATAATAATAATGAAAATTTAATGAGAATTTTCAAATTACCCAGACTCGAAGGGACTTCCCCCTTCTGTGATGCATTCAAACTAAAATAATAATTATATGTGTTTTGTGTGTTGGACCTTGTAGATGTTAATAACCAGAAATGCAACAATTTTTAATTGCTCACTCAATTGCAATTACTTAGAATCAATTTTTCAGTGACAGAAGGCGAGGGAAATTTTGAAAAACAATGCGATTGCTATGGAATCCATAAAAAAGTGTTTTGGAGCAGTCTAACCCCAAAAATTTATCTCCAATTTATTTATTTTATTTGTACAGTGAAGAATTGATTTTTTGTTTAAAATGCTCCAGGCACTTAGAGAAAGATCGCAGAAACGTAAAAAATTACTCGCGCAAACGGTACGTTTTTTTTTTAAATTCAAGACATGGAATAAAAAAATTCTACTGACTTGAAAATTCAATTGTCATTTCGCGTTAAAATTAATATTATCTTATTAATAAAAATTTTATAATAATTGATAACTGGGAGTCACAAAATTAATTTGATAAATGATTTGATCGTGATTTTTCAAACCTTTCAGCTCGGCGTCTCGAGTGTCGACGAGTTACGCCAGATCCTGGGAACAGACGTGGACAACACCGAGAGAAAAAAATCCCGTACAAAATCCCAGGACAGCGATGATGATAAATCCAAGGGCCACAATTCAAGTATTCAACCAGCTGACGAGATAGTCTACAAGGACTCATCGACATTTTTAAAAGGCACCCAATCATCAAATCCCCATAACGACTACTGCCAGCACTTCATAGACACCGGCCAACGTCCCCAGAATTTTATCAGAGACGTGGGTCTAGCCGACAGATTCGAGGAGTACCCAAAGCTCCGAGAGCTGATAAAACTGAAAGACGATTTGATATCAGAGACAGCAACACCCCCAATGTACCTCAAGACAAAACTCTCAAATTACAATTTCAAAGAACTCAATTGCAAATTCGATGTTATTCTGATTGAGCCACCACTGGAGGAGTACCAGAGAACCTGTGGAGTGACAAACGTCGAGTTGTGGAATTGGGATCAGATTATGGAGCTGGACATCGGTGAAGTGGCTGCCAACAGGAGTTTTGTATTCCTGTGGTGTGGTAGCAGCGATGGCCTTGACATGGGGAGATATTGCCTGAGGAAATGGGGATTCAGAAGATGCGAGGACATCTGCTGGATCAGGACTAATATCGATAATCCTGGACACAGCAAGAACCTCGACAGCAAGGCTGTACTCCAGCGAACGAAGGAACACTGTCTCATGGGGATCAAGGGAACTGTCCGAAGATCCACTGATGGGGATTTTATTCATGCCAATGTCGACATTGATTTGATCATCTCTGAGGAGCCAGAGTATGGATCCATCGAGAAACCCGTGGAGATTTTTCATATTATTGAGCATTTTTGTTTGGGAAGGAGAAGGTATTTTTTATTATCAAAAAAAAATGCTCGTTCAGGTGAACTGGGATAGATCATTTTTATATCTCTCATTTTAATTTTGCAGACTCCATTTATTCGGTCGTGACAGCACCATCAGGCCAGGATGGCTGACAGTGGGACCTGAATTGACGAATACAAATTTTAATACCGATCTTTACAGCAGTTATTTCTCCACTGGGCAAATAACCACTGGCTGCACCGAGAGGATCGAAGCCCTTCGCCCGAAATCACCACCACCGAAGGGTAAAGTCTCTGGAAGGGGCAGGGGAGCTTTTAATCGTAGTGGAAGAGGCAGGGGAAGATGAAATCAATTGGATCCAATGCCTCCAGTCTCTTCAGGACAAAAATTGTGTCTTCAAGTGGTAAATTCAAGATCGACAAATAAAAACAAGTGGTTTTAATATTAATCGATTTCTGAGTGTCACTTTTATTTCTCTAGCAACATAAAGTAATACATATCCCCTTAAAAATAATAAATGTCTGTATGAAAAAGATAAATTGGAAAAAAGGAGGACGAGGGTAATGGATGCACTCGTAAGCACACGACAATCCAATTAATGTCCTTGAATTATTAAACGAAAAGTCGTTAATTCCATCGCATCTCGTATCCACTGGAATTCAAATGAAATCATAGATTTCACTTGATATTTCTCTCGAATTACTATCGATCTATTTATTATTGGGTTATGGTGCTTTCAGCTTCGACTGTTGGAAGGATAATATCAAATTCATGTTCTAACTCGCCTCAACGTGAGAAAAATTAATTATTTTAACGAGCTAAATTGATCGCTCAAGCACAATTACTTTCTTTCACTTTTTTTTTTAATTCTTAATCTATCTGAGATCAAGTCGTCTTGTTTGTACTCTCTAGGCAAATTTCACTGAAGTTATCGATTTTTTTTTAGAGACTTCTAATAAATGTTTATACAAAAATATACCTGGAAAGAATTCAATTGGTCACAATCTCTCTTTCGTTTTTTTTTTCCATGCGCACGATTTTTTTCGGGGACTTATCGGTTTTAACACGACAAAATGTTTTTTTTTTCATACGTGAAATAAATAATGGACCGGACGTCGTACTGTCTCATCCAGGGGTAATTGTCAAGTACGAGTCAGACAAATAAATAATAAGTTTAATATCCTACGGGAATCTTCAACTAGTGCGTTAGAAAAAATAAAATAAAAATCATCTTAAATCACAATTGCCGGGTATCCACGATTTATCAATTTTTTATCATTATTTTTATTATGTTAATTGCGAATTTATCGATTTTTTGTCGTTTAATTAAAATTTCAATGTACAGAATTACATTTGTTGCTATTGCAGGGTTGAGAGAATTTTCGGCTCGAGCTGCACTCGATTTATTTCGAGAGGCATCGATTTCACGGAAAAAATCATGAATAACTTTTTTGGAGTGAATGAAATTTCCGAGAGAAAATGTCTCTTGATATTTTCTCCTAAAATCAATATTCTCCGAGATATCGATGTAAAAAAAATTGATTCCTCTACAAAATAAATCTCACGATCAGCTGATTAAAGTAATTAATAAAATAATCCCCAAGAGCTGAAAAAAATTCTCATAACGAAAATCCCATTGCCCTCCCATCCCCTAAACCCCGAACACCAGAGATTCCCTCCCTGGAACCGCTTCCGATAAAAAAAAATCAGCAAAAAGTGCTTGCAAAAAAAAATTCACGACAGGATCGAATTGATTATTATAATATAAAAAAAAAATCTACAGAAAATATTCATTTCTCATGCGGATGACAGACGGGAGATGCGATGGCTGATGGCAAATCGAACTGATTCGATTCGATATAAAATTATATTTATTGAATGATTTTTTTTAAATCGACTGTTGTAGTGTTGCAGTCAGGAGTTGATCGTCTGTGAGGTTTATCTCTGATTGGCCCGCCATCAGTCATGTCTCAAAGTCACAAATACGTGGACTCCCCTGTAATCAGACCCATTTTTTTTTTTCAATTAAGAATTTATCCTCCAATTTTTTACGTACTATTAATCAAATTAATTCAATAAATTTAACCGTGAAAGCCAATTATCGAGTCTTCAAGTACCGAGCGACCATCTCCTCACCGTGTACTACACTATTTGTTTATAAAAAAAGCAAGTACATCATGCAATTGTGAAAGAAATGAAAAGAAATGAGAATTTTTTAGAAAGAAAAAAAAAATAACAAATTGCCAATCAATTTCCCAGTGATTAAAATAATTCAGACATCAATGAATTAATTAATCAATTGTTTGATTCTTGTTTGATAATTTGTTGATGTTTTTTTCCCAGTGAAATAGATATTGCGAGGTGAAATTAATGAGAAATGAAAACCGATGACATTCTCGGCGACGAATTATCTGTACTATAATACACATTTTTTTGTTTGTCTGTTTTTTTTTATTAATTCTAGATAGATTCGTTTCTTTATCCATTCGCACTTCATGTCCACTCACTCCTGATTAACAATCGAATATTTGTCCAAAATAACAGAATATAAACTACAATTAAATGTGCATACGCAACCAATGATCATTCGATTGAAAATAAAGAAAATTCATTCATGACAGTTTTGTACAAAAATTAATTAATTGATAATTAACATTAATCTTAATCGTCGAATTTCTCTTTCTTCGGTCTTACTGTGGCCATTATGTTACAAGTCTTTGTTTATCATTCGCCAACTCGTTGAATTGAATAAAAAATAATCGTCAGTGAAGGAGAACAGAATATTTGATTGAATCGATAAATTAAACGATAAAATCATTAGATTTACAATTTTCCGGTGGAAAAATTCATTTTTATTCGAAAAAATAAATGTACTCTCGTGAGATTCTTCCTTTCACACACATCACACCTCTATCTATTAATATTATTATTATTTTGTCGTTTTGATTGAAGATTTACATAATTATCATATTTTTGAAATATTCTTTTTTTTTATTATTATTACGATTTGTTTTGCATTCGTTCGGCTTTTTACGAAATGCAGGGAAGGTACGTACTCAAATATACAATGAATTAGCCTCACACATGCCGCATATAAACTTTTATTAATTTCATCCCCATTCATTGAGATTATTCAATCGTTTATACAAATCATTCCACAGATGACCATTCAATCAATGGTCACCATTTTTTTTCTCCTCTGATATAAAAAGTGGATGAGAAATCATAAAATCCCACGATTTATTCTGATTCTCTTCAATTCACTAGCGAAATAATAAAAAGATGGAATTCAATTCTGACGTTTGTCCAGTTTTCAGAGAAAATCTCGAGATCTATGAGAGATATCGAAATTTTTTCAGGATCTTTTTTGTAGAACTAATTCCCAACTGCAAAAAATGTTATTACAAAAATTTTGATATCTCTCGTGGATTTCGAGATTTTTCGAAAAAACTCGGAAGTGCTTTCACTTTTTTTTTTCATTTCGCTAATGAATTTTAATTCATCAGCTTCAATTAGCGGTAATAACCCAGACATTCATCGATTATTCTCGTCTCCCCGAAGCCACTGTAAAATTTATCTCTTCAGATCGATCTCACAAGCTCACGATTTTCTCGCACTCTACGCGATGATTATTGACTTACAATTTATCACTTATGAAAATAGTCCTATCATTTTTATACTCGTTAGTTTCCTCCCCTCAGGGTTTATTTCTCTCCTTAATCATCAATTAATTACAGATGTGGTGTAATCATTATCGACGCTCTATCACTCTCGCACTTCCCTCACTCGTATCACTATAAAATCATTGAAAAATCAATATGATAAGAGGCCTCCGGGGAAAAAAAAACACTAAAGCTCCAGCAAAAAATTTGGCCGGTCGATTTCTCAGCCCAGAATCGGTATAGACTGATGAAAAATGTCTTAAAAAAATTGTTCACTCCCCCAATAAAAAATAAAACAAACCCAGAATGATTTGGAGCGAATAAACAATTTCAATAATTATTTAAAAATGCGAGGTGCCTAAGGTGGGCGCTGCCATTTCGCCTACCCACCCCCTTCCCTCTGACGAGGGGTTTCAAAGATGGCGATGCTTCCACCTCGCATTTCCAATTAATTATTAATATTGCTCACCACCCCTGAATCACCCGCGCATTACTCCATCCGATTCCTGGGAAGTGAACAATTTATTTAAGACATTTGCCAAATTTTTCTTTTTTTTCTAGGGTGAGAATTCGTGGAGCGAAATTTTCGGGGCTAGTTTTTTCCACCGGCGAGGTCTCTTGGGATTTTTTTTTTCAGGTAATTAACTCAGTTGTAGCAAAGTTGAATTTTCTTGACTATTTTTCTTCATCAAAAATGGAAATCATCGAATGCAATTGTACAGTTGAATCGATGAGCGCATTCTTTAGACAGATAATTGCCTAGTTCAACTAGGTGATTAACCAAAAATCTACGTGGACTTTGTTAAGGCCATTAATCCCGTCGTTGGGAATGAACGATTGTCGGATTGTTTTGTGAATTTTTATTTGTTAAGGATGTGCGAGAATCAAGTGCACTAATTAAATGTAGTAATTTGAAATATCTCTCTCATAATTACAAAACGCTGACGATTAATTCGATTTTATCTCTCCCCCGATCCTCGAAACAATAAAAATCATGAAACAATGATAACTGAGTTACTCCAATTAACAAAGCAATTAAAAAATATATCTTTATCGCTCGTTTATTTAAAAAAAACCCACGAATTCTCAAAGACCAAGTCACCAGGAGTTCTCGCTAAAACTTCTCACTTATCCCTCTGTCTCGTGATTGAATTCAATGAATGCTCATTAGCGTGATAATTTGTTGCTCGAAGGGATGAATTAAAGATGGCTGTGAGGGATAATGCGTGAATCGACGTGGGGCTCACAAAACATCTATCATTCCTCCATCCGATAGCAGACGATAACGGCCCACCCGCTGATCCAAGTCCACTGAATGGTAACAGACACACATTTTTTTTCAAAATTATTCTCATTTTTGACGTGTACGAGACGTATGAAAAATCATCGGCAACTCAACAACAGATAAATTAAAATAATCCGTATAATCAGTACCCCAATAATTACTGATTCAATTCAAATAATCAACGTTTACCCATTTAATGATGAAATCTCATTCCGAAAAAAAAAATATATCATAATGATTCGATAGCAAATCGACTCATTAAATTTTATCCAATTTCTCTCTGTGCGATCATACATTATACTCATGCATGTGATCATTCATGCTCAACCAGGGAAAACCATGACAAATAACAAATCGTGTGCACCAAAATGATTTTTTTTTTAAATCCCACGTGCTCATACGTCAAACGATTATTGATAAATAAAATGGGAATTGAGACGAGGAAAATTCATCCACACAAATCAATTCGTAACACTATAATATCACAACGTAATCATTGTACAATAATTAATTAATTCGTATCCATAACTTTGAGTTAATTTGAAATATTCCGTAATAAGATTGTCCCGCGCAATCGTAATTCATCAGAGCTGGACATTCAATTAAATTTATACAATTAATTTTATGAATTTTCCACATGTAATCAGGAAAAATTTCGACTGGAAAATTCGACTGGAAAATTCGATTAATCGTTATTCAATTTTCTCGATTAAAAATGAGAATATTAAACGATAAAATCGATCAGTGAATTCCCCAGCTCTGGAATTGATGATAAAAAATCAGTAAATACCCCGAAATAATAAAATCTAATTAAAATACATCACAAAAATTCCTTTTGTTCACTCCGTAGACCACTTTACCGCAATTATTTATCTTTTAAATCGCCAATCAAAAGCCAACAGACCGAGAATCAATGAATTCATAATGTAATTAAATTCCACTCGATAATTCCCAGGGAATTCAAATCGTCGGTAGTTGATTACACTGGAGACAGTTGAGAGTGCATCAATCATAAATATTTAATCAACGCTCAACTAATCTAATAAGTAGATTAAACTAGTGCACATTGTACAGAGATTAGCGCGATCGTATCGTCATTAAAATTAAATAAAACAACAATCATCAATAAATCGACGAAATGGCATAGTTAATTAAGAATTTAGGGAGAAATTTAATTTCCCTTCGAATACGACGAGTCAACGGAACGTTTAGAGTCAGTCTTAGAAATAAAACGAAACAAGCAATTCCATCTACAGATACTTAACTCTGAGGATTGTTAAATTATGTGAATGGTATGTGCACTTTACCATTATACGCAACTACAAGTGCATGCCTGAATCCCAGGGTGAATTAAAACTTGTGCTCCAAAAGTTTGATAAAATCGGCATCGAATTGACAAGTTGGTTATCGACGAATATCTCCACACCTGATCGAAATACTGAAATTTTCATAATAATCTTTTTCAAAGATGGTCTTTCCGTCTCCAAAAAAGCTCCTACCAAAAATTTCGATATCTCTCGTAAATCCCCAGATATTCCCCAAAAACCAACACATCTTCTCTGCTGATATGAAAAGGTGATTTTTATTTTTAACCACAAACTAAAAATCCCTCTCCCTCAAACTCTGGATAGACTCGATGTGTGCGTGACAAAGATAACAAGAGAGCAAAATGCGAAAAGTGTTTTTTTTTTTCGTGTGAATAGAAAATAATAATAAACAAATATATCCACAGACAATGAATTTCTTACAATCGATAAATCAATTGATCAAGAAAGGATAAAAAAAAATATGTAGAGCAGGTAATCATGTATCTGTGAGTGTTACTGATCTCGTGAATAAGTTAGAGGCATTTGAATCATCAGCACTCTGTTGATTTTTATCATTATCACCCGTCATACCCATTGGACTAGTACTGTTGTGTTGTTCTTGTTGTTGTGGCTGTTGGTGATGTGTTGTACGGCTAATGCTGTGCGTTATTGATTGACGTTTAGCAACGAGTGATAGTGAGAACTCACCTGATTCCCATCCGTCCTCGTCACCCGTTGTTTCACATTCACTGCTGTCAGCCTCACTCGATTCACTCGGTGTCTCCTGTCCACTCATACCTATTTGTACATCCGCTCTGGGGACCATTGTTGGTACTGTCTGGGTTATACCACTTCCTGTTACTTCCCACTGTCGATGCATCAGTAAACTCACCTGCAACGAGAGTATTTAATTCATTCAAGAGAATCCGTAATTTTCCAAAAAATATTTCTCCTTCTCTTTCCTTCCATTGGAAAAAATGGAAAACAAGAGATTTGGTTTTAGAGGAATAACTCGGAATCTAGGATAGATACCGAAATTTTTGATAAGATCTTTTTTAAAGAGGGGAAGAACTGCCAGAAAAAAGGGAAGTACGAAAATTTTTGTGGGTAGATTAAATTGGGAGATATTTCGATTTTTTGAAGGTATTACTGTGTACCTTAAAATCCGCACTATAAAGTTTATGGTGTTTGTCTTTATGCGCATCGTCCAATCCCCATTTGTCAATAGCCAGTACCAGTGTTGGTGGTTTTGGGCCAAGACTCGCCAATGAACTGGTCCTTGCTTTTGAGTGTGAAGTTACCATTGGCAATTCCATGGCAGTACCGTCACAACTTAGTGCTCTCGTCGAACGTTCCCCTGGCAATTCACCATTATCACCGTAATCAGGTGGCAAGTAATCACGTACAAAAAATGTATTGAACCAAAAATGGAACATTTTCTCCTGAAAATAAAATTCCAGAATTGATTAATTCAAATCAACAAACCAGAAATCCACAGTGATTTTTTTTAAATCAATTTTTTACTCACTTTTCTCTTCATTTTTGGCTTTTTATTAAAAAAATCTACACGAATGTCACCAGTTAATGGAACATTATGATCAATCGAAATTGATATAGACGGCATTCCTTTTCTAACTTCAATTGTTTCTGAGCTAAATATTCGCTTCTCGGATTCCCATATCACAAAATGCAAGTCTGTAATTAATAACAATAAAATATTGATCCTCTTGATAAATCTAGATAAAAAAAAAGATAATTTAAATCAATAATTAAGTAAAAAAAATGGCAAACAACTCACAGCCTTGACCCCCATTAAATATCGGTACTGGATCCAACAGTATCTTCCTCAGTATCAGAGTTATGGGTTGATAATTCAAGCTCTCCTGTACCAAGGTAGCGTAGTACCCCACGTACCTCCTCTGCGAAGGTATCGTAACACCTTTTTTATCAGTCGTTCTTTTAATTCCGTAAAAATTGAGTGCGTCAGGTGCAGTGGCAAATTGCCTGATGTGCAGCAAATAGCAACACACCATCACACCAGTTCTACCCTTTCCCGCTTTACAGTGAACAGCAGCAACATTTTTTCTGTCCTGCGACAACCAGGCATGCACATCCTCGCAGAATGGCCTTATCAGCTCCAATTTCGGTGGATTGTGATCGGCAAATGCGTACGTTGCCACACGCTGCTTGAATTTTTTACAATCATACGATCTCTCAGAACAGAGATTATAAATTTTGTAGTGATCCTTGTGCTTGGATTCTAAAAATTTTACCACATCGTCTATGTGATTTCTGTACACACCCTCGAGTTTTTCCGCAGGGAATCCCATCGCTATTAAATTATCTCTTATATCTGCAATTTAAAAAATCATAATTCTCCCATTACTCATCCTAATTTGCCAATTATACCGATTTTTAATTATAATTAATCAAATATTTTATCAACAAAATTGATAATTTGAATGGAATTTTGAAATTTGAGAGAATGGACTCACAGGTGAGATCCAGGTCGAATCCATCTTCAGTAAACCTTTTTCTTCGTTTGCTGACAAGCCCCTTGATGGGGTTTGTCATTTTCATATTGCTGATGGTATTGGCCATGGTTTGCTGTTGTCCCCAATCCTCACATCCACCCCTGGTAAATCCTACCTCGGTCTCCCACGATTTAACACTAGTTGTTTCCCCCAGTTGCTCACTTGTTTTAACCTGTCGATAATTTATTAATAGCAATTGATAATATTTATTGAGGATTCAATTGGATTTACCTGTGCCCTGCGAGCCACGGCGTCACACGAGCCCAGTTCTGCTCCTCCTTGCTCCTCCAGACAAACATGGAGGGGTGTTACCGATGCCGATATGTGCTCAGAAATCTTGTTATTAAGCCGACAGCTAGTGGGTCTCCTACAGGAAAAGCATATACCCATCAATGCGTGGAGCATAAGTCCTGTAAGTTTCCCATCTCGTTATCCATCATTTTTCCACCTCATCCTTCTCATTGTTAACTACAAGCTAGGATTACATTTAGTTTATTATTTATTTCACTTTTTCAACTCATCTTCATTCACCAGTAAACAATAAACAATTGGATTAACGATGAAGTGATAAAGGGCTCGGCTAACGGATGAGCAATTGGTGAATATCTCGCAATCTACGGGAGATGGCGAAATTTTTGTTATCACATTATTTGCAGCTCTCGATTGGCTCCACAAAAAAGGTAATAACAAAATTTTTTGTGGGTCCCGCAGTTTCGGAGTTATTCATCAGTTTTTGGGGGAGATGGTGAGGGAGAATTTTTCTCTCACTGAAATATGGAATTATGGAGTTGTAATTACCTCCGTTAAATCTCGATGCATCTCATGGTGACATTGGAAGTACAGAGTAGTCCTTACTGACCATGTATCACATTTTGTTACAAAATACGCCATATACGAAATGTATCTGCAGAACGTCTGAAAGAAAAAAATGAAGAAAAAAATTAAAAATCATTTCTTCGCACAAAAAAATCCCCAGGTGTCGTAAAATGAATTAAATTATCGAGAAAAAATTCTGGATTCTTCTCGAGGTGTTATGATCACCACCACCGGACCCAAAAAACCGAACAGATACCTGGAGATGATCTCCAAAAATCCCCAACCCTCCACTCCAAAATTCAACCCCAAAAACTCACGACCTAAAATCACTGAAAAATTTCCAAAAAATTCATAAAACGATAAAAAAAAATTAAGAGATCACAAGTGAGACATCACCCACACAATGACTTGATCCCCAACACGTGAAGAGTCTCACCGACAATGCATTGGAAAGCAGGTGTGTTCTCACTCCGAAAGTTTCTTTACAACAAGAGAGGGATGAAGAAAATGACAGGAGAAGGGGACAGAAAAGCCCTCGGTGTATCCACCATGAGTTCAGCTCGCCAATATCCCCAGGATCACCATCAACATCCACGACAACAACCAGACGAAAATTCAATAAAAAAAAAAAAAGAAAAAGCCTCGAGACAACTGAAACCCCGAAAAAGAGCGAAAAGTCACGCTCAATTAGCGAACGGAAGTGCTCGGAGTAGCGTCCATCTCAGGCACGTTTTTTTACTCATTTTTTTCCAACTTCATCTCTCCCTCTCCCTCACACACGCTGAGCTATGATTTCACGTCCTCCCCACAGCCAGAATCACTTGCCAATTTTCCCAGGATTTCCTTGAAAATAAACATCACTCCATTTTCTATTTAATAATTATTTCCACTCACACGTACGTTGAAGTGAAAAAAAAAAAAATGAAAAACTCCACTCACTTGTTCTGTAGTTCACTCTCTCCTCAGGCCTCGTCCCCCCCCTCGCTGATTTTCTCACTCGTCCTCGTATTATCCTAGATACTTCACTCCTTTTTTTTGAATTATTATTTTTTTCATTGCCCCCCTCCCCCCACCCCCACAGCACATGAAACCTCAACACTTCCTTGTCCTATGGGTTTTATCACAGTAACACACACGCATTATTCTTGGCCCACTGTATCGCACGTTTTTTTTTTTCCTCCGACGTTTTCTCTCCCTCTTCATTCACCACGGGGTAATTGTTCTATTTCGGGGGGTTGTGATTGCAGTGAGGGGCAACAGGGGGGTTGAGACGTGGGATTTAATGGATAAATTTTTTTAAACTGAGAGTTGGTGAACACGGGAGGATACCACCGACCCTGTGGCATTACAGGGGAGGGCATGGGCTTTGTCCTGTTACGGGGCCTCTGGATTCACCAATACTGCCGTTCATATTCGAGGGCGCCACCCGCGCAATCGCTGCACCACTCTGCACATGCGCGCGCTACCGCGCGTGCGTGCATCACTGCACGTTTTCACTTGGTTTAAAAAAATTGGGGAAATTAATTTTTTATTCACTCTTGGATTTTTTATTTTTTAATTTTACAATTTCATTTTTATTGCAATTTTATTGGTTTTGATTTTTTTTTTCGCGGGATTATTTCAGAGAAATATATAGTATCATTTTTATTAAAATCTGGTAAGAGATATCTGAAGCGCATGCCTATGCGCTGGCGCGACCGATTCAATTTCAAGAACCACCACTTATGATTTTTTTAATATTTTATTTATTTATCTTCTAACATGAAATCAACAAATCATTTTATTTCTTCGGTATATTCACACTGAATTTTTGTAAAAGGGTAATAAATCCTGGAATTTCCCTGTCAAGAGCTCCAGGACTCTTGATTCCCTGTGGGCGAGGGAAACGTCAAATTGTTTGATCAATCGTCGAATTTGTTTGGGAAGATGAGAGGCTCCATCGAAGAGGTATTAAATTCTCTAGGCTGGGAGGATGGATTTAAAATTCCGGTGGCTAACGAAGAGAATAAAAAACTCGAGTCTGAGGTAATTCCATTTTCCCATTCCCTCCCCAATCACTAAAATAAATTAAATCTGAACTAACCCATAAAAATAATTAATAAAAACAATTGCATCGAATAAAAAGATCGACAGAAAGCTAAAACAGAAGAGAAAACTCGTGGAGGACCTGGCAGTCAACGAAGACCGAGTAAAATCCATCGAGGAGTACATCATCAACATCAAGGTCGAGCACAATCACAATCAGAAACTCCTGACAGCATACGCCGCGCAGAAAAATGCTGAGGACCACATCTTCAAGGTGTCACAGCATGAAGAGTCGTCGATTGACCAGGAAATCCGGAATTTCGACAAAGAAAAGGCAAATATGGAGGAGAGGATTGAAATCCTGAGGAAAGATATGTGCAAACTCCAGGGGAAATTGAAGAGCTCTGAAGAAGCTCTGGCTTTTGACAGGAACAAACTCCTCCAGTGGCAGGAAGTCCTGGATAAAGAGGAGGAGGATGAGGAGCTGCTCCAGAGGTATATCAAATCAGATGCCAAGGAGTTCAAGGTATAATTGGTCTTTTGGGAGAATAATTTGTTAATTTGTTTTTAATTGTGAGATATTTATTGAATTATCTCGATGATTTTTTAGAATTTGGAACTGAAGAGACAGAAATTGAATCTTGAAATGGAGTCCGTGAAGTCCTCGGTCCTCCAAATAATGAACGAAATCTGTGAAATGGAAATAATCCTGGAGAGGACGTCCAACTTCTACGTTCAAGCCCTGGAGGAAAGGGGTCAACTGATTGAGAGATGGTCCCAGAGTGCTCTGGTCCTTCGACAACGAGACACAGGAATTCAGGAGACCATCCGGGAGATAGAGACCCTGAAGGAAATTGGAAAGGACAAAATGGCGGTTCTCACCGAGTCGGAGGAGTTCCTGGAGAGCCAAATCCTGACGAATCGACAGGTGGAGGAGTTCATTAAACATCTCGATAAGAAATTATTCCTGGAGAAAGAGGAGAGACGAAAAATTGTGGAGAACAATTCGATGTACGAGCTGGAGTACCAGATACGTAAGAAATCCCTGGAGGAACTGTCGCGTCTTCTCCAGAGGATGAGGTCCGATGTGAAGTCCACGCAGGTCTCCATCGAGAGTAAAAGAAAAAAAATGAGAAATTGGACGAAACAGATTGATGAAATTAAATCAACCATCAGAGATGTTGAAGATCAGAGTGTGAGTGCAGCTGATCGGTTGAAGCAGCTGGAGGGAATTCTGGAGGGTGAGGAGAAGAGGAAATCGGGGATTCTGAAGGAGACGAAACGATTCCAGGACTTGATCCTCCGGACGTCGAATAAGATAACGGAATTGGAGGGTGACCGGAAGTCAGTGGACGTCCAGAAGAACGGAGAGCTGAAAAAAGTGGAGATTTTTGGTGTTCACCAGGTGCGAGAGGAGCAGAGGCTCCAGGAGAAGAGGGAAACGATTCAGAAGCTCAATTTTGAGATCCAGGAGTGCGAGATGAGGCTGGGAAAAATTGGACCTGATGATTTCAGTCGAGCTGAGATGGAGAGAAAAATGAAGACAATCGAGAATCTCCAGAAGATCCTCGACGAGAAGATGGAGGTGAGTAAATTGCTACAGACGCAGCTGACGAATTTGGAGAACGACGTGAGGCGAGTCCAGGGGAGTCTGAAGATCACCAACGAGGAGCTGGAAAGACTTGGCTCTAAAAAGCAGGACGTGACGTCCCTGATGGAAGGAGGAGAGAAGCACCTGAAGACTATCCAGAAGATAAACGAGGAGAAACAAGTGGCTGAGAATATTCTGGAGCTGAGGGTGACTCAGGGTGAGCAGATAATCAAGAATATAGGTAGCAAACTCCACAATTTGGAGAAATATCGCCTGCAAATTGATTCAGCAATGAAAGAGAGACTCATTGAGATTAAACTCCAGAAGGAGGGGCTGAATCTCGAGAAACGAGTGACAATTTCTGATTGTCTGGAGTTGAAATCTGCCATCAACGAGAGACAGTGTAGGATGCAGCACCTCCAGGTGAGGTATGACAATATTATTGCGACGATGGGGTGTTCTGAGGTGAGTGCACCTGTCACCACGACGTACCTCAAGATAATGAATGCCCAGGAGAAGGCTGAGCTCCAGGAGCAGGGGGACAGGCTCGATGCCACCATCAGGAGAACTGAGCAGGAGATCAGGAGTATGGAAAATACTCTGAGGATTGTTAATGCTTGCAATGATAAGTATAAATTGTCACTGGGGGCTTCTGAGGATGAGGCATCTGGGGAGGTGCAGAGGAAGGCATTGGATGAGGAGATGGTTAAGGCACTGGAGATCATGAGACTCAGGCAGATTCAAATGGCACAGGAGGAGGAGGAGTATCAGGGCTTGCAGGATGATCTTGTGGGACTTGTGGAGGATCTCAAGGTCGCCAAGGAGGAGAAGGAACTCAAGTTGAGGGCTGTGGGTGTTATTGAAAAACTTGTGGCTGAGCAGAAGGAGAGGATTTCAAGGGCTGAGAAGAGCCTCAGGAAACTTTACAAGGATATCCAGAGGATGTGCGAGAACTCTGATGATGATAGGATTCTTCTCCAGGAGGTAATCACCATCTCTAAGGAAAAATTCGGTTTATTATTGATTTATTCGTGATTTAAAAAATAATTGGAGATGATAAATTCTTCGGATTAGGAATAATCAAAATGGAGACGATTTAATTCAGATTCTTTTGAATTTTATAGAAAGATATTGCAACTAGAGAACTTGAAGAGCAGAATTATCTCGCTCTCCAACGAATCACTGAATTTACTATTCGTCATGTGGAGGCAGAGGTTTATGTGAAGAAATTACTGACTGCTAAGAATATTTCTCTTCCTTGTGCTCAGCATCTCAAGCCATCACCGACACCTAGTCTGTGTGACAGCACCAGGAGCTCGGTGGCTTCCTCTGGGAGAACCAGATTGGCATCTACTAGAGAAAGTGCGAGTAGAGTTCAGAATATTTCCACTGAATTTGTGTTTGAAGGTGATAAAATTTAATTCATTCACTGATTCATTGAATTTGTCGATAAAGAAAAATCATTTTTGGGAGTTTTAATTTTTTTTTGAAAAGATTTTCAAGAGTTCAATGATTTTTCTTCGGTTTTCAGTGGTCGGAGGCTCGAGATCAGGGAATCGAATGTCAAATCTGCGACAGTCATCGATAAATCGGCAATCAGCCGCGAAGAAAAAATAAAATTCACAACAAAAAAGATAATTAATTAAGCATGACTTTGAATTCGAATTAATTATGTCAACTTTCTACAGTTTTTTCTCCCTGTAATTTTTTCATATCGCAATAAATAACTGTTGATGTCAATTATAACAATTATCATTATCCCCACCCAATTGTTTATTTAAAAAATAGACACGTCGACGAGGAGAATATTTTCTCTGCCTCCCCAGATCAATTGCCAATTTATTCAAATAAAAATGGTGAAAATAAATTTTGATTTGATTTTATAATAATTGAATAATTGTTCCTGCATTACCGATAATTGTTTTGCCATTGCAAAACAATAATGGCGCTGAAGTGGAGAGTGTCGACATAATGTCAAAGGTCTAGATTTTTTTCTTTCTCTCAATCGCTCACGAATCTGTATCGTCGACGTCAAATTGATTGGTCACTCATTATTTATTTATTCTCAGATTTTCCCCGGAAAACCACTCACATTATTCCATCGGTAATCTCCTTACGCAATTAATACGTCAGTGTTATAACGTCTCTAGAAGGGGTTACGTGTTGACAGAAAAGCAGAATGTGGTTTTGGTATATTAATGATGGAGGTAATTAAAACCCTTCATTACTCCAAAAATAATCAGTCACATCAGCCCACGATAATGATTTTAAATAATGAATTCACCCATCGATTAAACGACAAACACAAAATCAATAGACAACAGTGGCTGTCGACATGGATAAATATCTCGGAATCCACGAGGAATACGAAAATGTCATGGGGAACTTTTTTGTGCATCTCGATCTGCTCTACGAAAAAAGTTATTACAAAAATTTCGCTATCTCTCGTTGATTCCGAGATATTCCCGGAAAACTCTCGAATCGATTCTCGAACGCTCCAGAGAAAAACTTATGTCTCTTTGATTCTCAGGTTGTGGAGTTGTTTAATCACCTAAACACAAAGGCAGGATCATACGCCATTCCGCCATGGTTCTACCAGCTTCTATCAGACTACGAGATAACCCGAAACGTCGTGATAATATCCGGAATAATTCTTATTCTCTTCTTATCAGTTCTCTTCTCATTCCTCCGAAGATGGAAGAACAAAGAGCTCCTGGTGAAAGAGGTGAAGGAATTCGTTGGAGTAGGAAGTGGAAAGCCAAGATTTCGTAAACGAGACAAAGTTCTGTTTTACGGTAGAAAAATGTTGCGCAAAGTCAAGTCGATAAGTGGTCAGGTGCATCCAACAGGTCAGGGTAAAAAGCGTCGAGCAGTCATGAGATTTGCCAGGAGATTATTGCAACTGAAGAAAGACACTGTCCCCCAGCAGTTAAAAGTCCTGGAGCCACCAGCCGAGTATTTAGAAGAAGACCTGGGACCTGGGGACAGAGTCCCCCCAGATGCTCTGTACATACTCCAGAGTATTCGAGTATTTGGACACTTTGAGAAACCTGTTTTCCTTAAATTGTGCAAGCACACTGAAATTATGAATTTACCAGCGGGCACAGCATTATTCAAGATTGGAGATCCCGATGAAAACGTATTTATTGTCCAGCAGGGTCTCGTCAATGTCTACATAAATGGAGTCGATGGCTCGCAGGTGCCCTTGAAGCTCGTGAAAACAGGAGAATCAGTCACAAGTCTTCTGAGTTTTACTGACGTCCTCACTGGACATACCAGCACTTACAAAACAGTTTCAGCTAGAGCTGTCGAGGACTCGGTGGTGGTTAAATTGCCGATGAGTGCGTTCCAGGAGGTATTTCAAGATCACCCTGATGCTTTTATTCGTGTCATCCAGGTGATCATGGTGCGACTACAACGAGTAACATTTACTGCTCTCCATCAGTACCTGGGGCTGTCAGCTGAGCTGGTGAATCCAGGATCTCACAAGAAAAAGCACAGCCCATTCTCTGGGTCCCCTGTGAGGTCAAGGACGAAAGAGAACTTTGCGGTTCAAGTTAACGATGGAATTTCATATTCTACATCGAATGAGGGAAATGAGGGTAACGATTCAGGATCGTGTCCTGTAAATATCGGTGGATTGAAGAGAACCAAGAACAATCTAGACTGGAAACTCCTGAATTCCCCTCAACTCCCAGGTACTCACACAACAACACCTGACATGGTACCAGAATGTGACGCCCACTGGTCAACACTACCCTCGAGCCTTTCGTCTCAGCCTCCAAGTCACAGCAGCCAGAGTGGTCCAGAGGTGATGCACTCAGGTGGTCCCGGAGGATTCAGAAAAAAATCAACCCACGAGCCACCACCACCCTTCGACGAGGCACACCTGGTGCAAATAGCGACTGAGGCATTCGTGAAAGAGCTTGGCCTAGAGGACGACTCAGTACTCAAGGAGAAAGTTCAAATACGAGAGGTACCAGCAGGCACTTATCTGATGAAGGAGGAGTCCCACAAGGACGTGGCTCTCGTCTACGTCGTCTCAGGATCCCTAGTCATATCCCAGAGGGGTGCAGAGGGGAATGCATCGACCGAGGAGATCCACATGTTCAGTGCACATCAAGGAGAAATTGTGGGGGGTCTAGCCGTTCTCACTGGTGAGCCCTCGTTCTACACGATCAGAGCTAAACACCCCAGCCGAATTGCCCTCCTCAGTAAACAGACGTTCTTCTCAATTATGAGGGATACACCAACAGTTGTCCTCCATGTCGCTAATACTGTCGTCAGGAGACTCAGCCCGTTCGTTCGCCAAGTTGATTTTGCCCTGGACTGGCTATTCCTGGAGAGTGGACGAGCTGTTTATCGTCAGGGGGACGAGTCAGACTCGACATTTATCGTTTTAAGTGGACGTCTTCGATCTGTTATCACTCACGCGAATGGGAAAAAGGAATTAGTCGCTGAATATGGAAAGGGCGATCTAGTGGGGATCGTTGAGATGGTGACGCAGACTCCAAGGTCAACAACTGTTATGGCAGTTCGTGATTCAGAGCTTGCTAAATTACCAGAGGGGCTTTTTAATGTAATTAAGCTGAGATATCCAATTGTTGTTACCAGATTGATTAATCTTTTGGGTCATAGGATATTGGGTACTTGGAAACAGGTGCAGAGTCCTGGTGGAAGCAGTCAGAGGGCCACTGTCGATGCCAGACCAGCTCAAGTGAATTTTTCAACAGTTGCTATTGTTCCTGTCTCTGAGGATGTACCGCTGACTGCTTTTACGTACGAATTGTATCACTCACTCTGTGCCATTGGACCCTGTTTGAGGCTTACCTCCGAGGTAGTGAGGAAGACCCTGGGGGCTAGTATCCTGGAACCACCTAATGAGTACCGGCTTACCTCTTGGCTGGCTCAGCAAGAGGATCAGCACAGAATTTCCCTTTATCAGTGTGACTCCACGTACACTGCCTGGACGCAGAGATGTGTCAGGCAGGCTGACTGCATTCTCATCGTGGGACTTGGTGACAGACCACCTAGTCTTGGGAGGACTGAGAGAGAGGTGGAGAGACTCGCCATGAGAACACAGAAGGAGCTTGTGCTGTTGCATAAGGAACAGAGTGGACAGAAGCCCAATAATACTGTACAGTGGCTCAATATGAGGAGCTGGGTCTCCAGTCATTTTCATATTCAGTGTCCCAAGAGGATGTTCACCAGGAGATCGCAGTACAGAATTAATGAATTGTACTCCAAGGTCCTCATGTCAGAGCCCAATGTTCACAGTGACTTCAGCAGACTAGCTAGATGGCTGACTGGAACATCAGTTGGACTTGTTCTCGGTGGAGGTGGTGCAAGGGGTGCAGCACATGTGGGAATGCTGAAGGCCATCCTGGAGGCGGGAATACCCATTGACATGGTTGGAGGTGTCAGCATTGGCTCCTTCATGGGGGCCCTCTGGTGCATGGAAAAAAATATTACTACAACCACACAAAAAGCCAGGGAATGGTCTAAGGTAAGAGTATTCCATTAAAAATATCCTGGAGATTATTTATTTATCCTAAAAATTATCATTTTTATTGTCTTATTTTTTCTCGAAAGAAAATGACTCAGTGGTGGCGCCAGATTATGGACCTGACGTACCCCATGACGTCGATGTTCTCGGGGAAGGACTTCAATAAAACTATTCAAGCAACCTTTGGTGATACCTACATCGAAGACCTCTGGCTTCCCTTCTTCATCATCACCACTGACATCACAGCTTCTTGCATGCGCACGCACACTCACGGTTTGTATCTCAGAATAATAATCAGATTATCCTTTAGTAATTCAATCACTTAATTGAGAAATTCATTACTCAATTCACTAGACGTTTTGTTTATAGATATTTTTCACTGTAGATTAGTTTCAGTGCAGTTTGCTTTTCATTTTTATTATTCTCTCTTTTTTAAATGCACTCGTTTGTTTGTATTGTTTATTTGTTTGCTGATAAATTAAATTTCATTGACGGGAGCGAGTTTTTTAATAAATAATTCGTTGTTGACGTACTCATCGTTGTACATAGGTAATTGTAAGCATAAAGTTGGGATTTTTTTTTTTCATTATTTCGTATTTGAAGTCATGATTAATCAATTAATTCGTTGAATTAGACGTACTAATTATTTATCATTTGATTGATATCTGGTTGAGGATTCAAACACTGAATTGTTTCCTCAATTAATAATAAATCTAATAAATATGAATAAAATTCGCATTTAATTGTTGTAAAAAATATCTCTTGTCGATTTTCAACAAATAATTTCATCCTGAAAGACATTGAAAATCCAATTGCATAATTTATTTTCACGTACATTAATTTATAAATAAAAAAATGTTTTTTTATGTCCATTCATTCGAGATATTGTTGGCTTCTGTCAGTGGACCAGAATAATTTCAATGACAAACTGAATAATTCAGGATAAAATGGAATTATCGAAAGGATTGTTCAATTAATTCGTGGTGATGTTTAGGATCGCTGTGGCGTTACATTCGAAGTTCGATGTCATTGTCTGGTTATATGCCACCATTATGCGACCCCACTGATGGCCACCTCCTCCTCGATGGCGGGTACGTCAATAACCTTCCAGGTAATTCAATTGTAAAACATAATCAAACTGGAATTTGAAGATGAGATCGAAAAAAAAAACTCGCTTCCGTCGATGAAAAGATGCACCGTTGCAGATTAAAAAAATATTGAGTTTAATTGGAATAGGATTGCTTTGGAAATACGTACGCTCCAGTATGACTGTTGCTGGAGTTTTCCCACCGATTTGTGATCCTCTCGACGGGCATCTTTTGGTCGACGGATGTTATGTAAATAATGTGCCAGGTAAACCCCCAAAAAAAAACTGAAAATTATTCAATTCCGACGGGTATATCTCCCGATCTAGCAGAGATACAAAAATTCCCTCAGGACATCTTTTGTAGATCGAAATGAGAGCTGCAAAAAAAGTCATTATGAAAAATGCATTATCTCCCACGGATTCAGAGATATTCCCTGCAAAGAGTAGAGATATGATTTTTATTTCAAATACAATTTCAGGCTTCATTCTTTTTTTGTGTTTCCAATTTTATTTATAATGTAATTAGATTCAATTAATAAAATTAGCTGACGTCATGCTGAGACATGGAGCACATCATATTTTGGCGATCGACGTGGGGTCCCAGGATGACACAGACCTGACGAATTACGGAGATTCCCTGTCTGGGTGGTGGTTGCTGTGGAAACGATGGAATCCCTTCGCAGTACCCGTCAAAGTTCCCAATTTACCTGACATTCAATCACGACTGGCGTACGTCAGCTGTGTGAGACAATTGGAAGAGGTCAAATCGTCGGATTACTGCGAATACATCAGACCTCCAATCGACAAATTCAAAACTCTACAATTTGCTAATTTCGATGAGATCAAGGACGTTGGATATCATCATGGTAATTCATCACTCAATTGTCACTATTCTTCAATTGATTGTGTCTATTCAAATTCTAGGAAAGACTTACTTCGAGGGTCAATCAAAAGCTGGTGTTCTTCCTCGTTTTAATGCGGACAGAGAGACTGCCAGGGCTCTCCGGGAAAAACACAAATCTGGAAGCCAGGAAATGTCCTCTTACACCTTCACAGATCTCGCTCAAATGGTTTGTCAAGTGTCTAGGTACAATCGTTATGGCGATCTCGATGATACAGACTCTGAGATCGAGGAATATGAAGCAGATCTCGAGGAAGATGCACAGGAGGTCGGTTATGCGTCGGAGCCAACTGCTGGAATTTTGGATCAAGTAATTCCCTCAATTATTTATTTTTACACGTGAGAAAATTAATGCAATGTACAATATGATAAATATAATAAATTTATATTATATTTTTTAGAGTCCTGACGATAGCAGATTGAGACGACGCGCTGGAGTATCATTGAGTCTATCAGATACAGAAGCCGAATCCGAATTGGAATATCATCCAAAGTTATTTTAAAACTCGAAATAAAGACCAAAGGTGATAGCTTGTCAGCTAAAAAAAATGGGTTACCACTTAAGTTAGAATAATAGAACAAATTCAAATTTTGATAATGAATAAATTGTAAAATTTAAATTCATTCACTTCATTTTCGACGTCTCGTTACTCTCATTATCAACAATATAATTATTGTCTCTAATGAGGTACGTGTACTGAACGATAACTCAATTGTATTTAATATTAAGACAATACAAAAAAAATAAATGAAGATTTTCTATTTCTACATGAAATAATCCGTCTCAATTTATCCAAAAAATAATGATTATTAATTTTGAATTATAATTAATTAATAACTAATTAATTTCTCTCAGAATTATCTTTAGAAATCTGTTTTCCATGTGAGTTCTGGATTCAGAACATTGAGAGCTGCTCCGACGAGATGGAGAGACCCAGTGATCAACACCTGGACTCTCTCCTCTCTGAATTCCTCTCGAATAATCTCGAGTGCCTCCAGCACAGTTTTTCCCGTGACACCACCTTTTCCCCAGATATCACAGTGAAATTGACAGTTCCTGATCTGTTCCTCACTGGTAATCGTGAGATTTTCCTGATCTGCGCATTTTTTTCCTGATACATTGGGAACAAAGAAAGCCCTGGCGAATGGAATTTTCCTCAAGATCTCCAGATGTTGGGAAGAGTCTCGATTGCCTGTGGAATTAAAAATCAAAATCTTCTTGGAGTTCTTGTTCTCCTGAGTCTTCTTGAACCACTGGATGCAAGCTCTCATGCTGTCAGTGGTGTGTGCCCCATCGAGATAGTAATCCGAAGATTTCCCCATCAAAACTTGCGTTCGTCCTGGCCACCTGCAGGTCTTCAGCCCCAGCTCAACCCTTTTCATATCAAATCCCTGACAAAGTCCATTTTGAGGGATGAAATTCTCGTTTTTCTGAGTCCTCGCGGATTTTATCCAAGTCTCAACCAATTTGACAGCTAGTGATGCATTCTCCAGCTGTACGTCTCCAAGAATTCCAATATCTGGTGGAAACCTTGTCCACTGGTAGGCACTCAAGTCTGGAACGACAGACAGATGACATTTCCTCTCGACTGCTCTTCTCGTCAGGACTTCCATCGCCTCCAGCGGTTGTTTCACAGTGAATGCAGGTGCTTTTTCTTTAAAAATTCCAGATTTCTGCCAGGCGATGCAGGAGAGATCATCCCCGAGCATCGACGTGTGGTCCAGTCCCAGGAGAGTGACTCCAGTGCAAACTGGAGATCTGATGACGTTCGTGCAATCGTATTCACCTCCAATTCCCACTTCAATTATTGCTACGTCCACTGTAGACTTCAGGAAAATGTGGAACATCAGGATTGTGAGGAATTTGAAATAGAGGGGCATGTCTTCGGGTCTTTCTCTCCTCAGGTACAGGCTGTTGTACAATCTCCAGAAGTGCTTGCTGAAGTCCTCCTCGCTGATGGGAATTCCGTTTATGCGAATTCTTTCTCGGACTGATATTAAATGGGGCGAGGTGTAGAGAGCTGTTCGATATCCATGGGAGCGAAGAATTGACTCCACTAGGGCACAGGTCGAACCTTTTCCTTTCGTTCCTGATATATGGATTATCGATAATGAATCGAGATCCTCTACAGATAGTCCAGATCTATTCCGAGATAAATCAACGATTCAATCAATTATTAATTCTGGATTGATAAGATAAATTTCAGGAAGTGATTAAAACGATTCGTGCAATTGAAGTTGAAGATAAAAATTGAATGATATAATTTATAGTGCAGGCATGGATTCTTTAGAATAATTATAATAAAAAAATTAATTATGATTATTTTATGGGTATTGTAGGGAAATATTTGATTCTCTCGGTCTTGATAATGAGTTGACCTTTTTAAATAAATTGCAGCAGTTGCTTTTATTTATTGAGACTAAAATTTTGATTACCTGGCGAGATATTTGTGGGTGTCTTGTAATGTTGTATTTATTGCATTATGTTTAGGAGCTGTTCTGATATACGAGGCATTAGTTTGAAGAGAATTCAGGGCTCTCACAGCGTCCTGATTAAAAAATAACGAAAACATTATCATTAACTTATAAATAAATAATTCATCATACCATTAACACAATTCATTATAATTTCAATTACCATGAAAATAATGAATGGTAAACCACTGATTAATACAAAATGGATTAATTAAGTAATTAATTATTCAATAATTAATTATGTTTAATGGAATTCCTGTGGAATTTTTTGAAGTGGACAATTGTATTTGGGAAAATTTTAATTGCGCATTGCGGAGATAATTGGCGCAGACAGTTGTAAAAGTAATGAGTAATGAATCAGCGAATGAATGTGTTGAATACATTTCCCAGTTATCGGTCGTCTGAGGCCCAGTTTCTGAACATTTTTCTAAATAATAAAATGAGGCGATTCATTATGTTGCGTCACTCTGGTGCGACTTCAGTGATTTTTTAATCCATAAATATCAAATTATTCTGCTGACAAATTAAATTCGACACTCGCGTGTCCCATTTCCACCTTAAATTCCATAATTACGCCTGTGGATTCATTGAATTAAATAATTTCTGCAGAAAAAATTGCGATAATTTCGATGGACAGAAACAATTCCCCTGCAATAAATGGAAATGCAATAATTCTGGATTAATAATTGATATAAAAAAGAAAAGAATTGGAGAGATTGTGAGATGAAAATTGAGGGGAAAATTCTGGAAAATTCGCAGAGAATTGTAAAAATTGTATAAAAATTACCTGATATGTGGAATTTGAAGAACTTCCGTTGGTCTGCATGACTCTCTGTATCAGTCTGAGAGACGACTGAATCCTCGGAAACTATTGCATTATATAATGAGATGAATAACAGATTAAAGATATTATTATTTCTCCAATCAATTAAAATCCACCGCATGCATGTGATTCCACTCCAAATACAAAAGCGTGGGATTTAATTGGGTAAATCTACCAGAGAAAATGAACTGATCTGTTAGAAATTTTTCGTGCGATTCCACCGTATCATGGATATTATTCCTATTGTTGTTATTATTATTGAGACTTACGCATTTTGGGAATTGATTGGTCATTCGAAGGGGGAGTTTGTTTACAATTGGTTATAACGATATTGAGCACGTGGTAACCAGTGATGTAACCGGTTGATATTTTTCTATGTGTGTGATATTATTTGTCTATCTGTGTTAATTTTCGAAGGTAATTTGTTGATGTGGGAATTCAAAATAATGAGGGCCTGGAGAGACGAGTGAGAAGATTGTTGTTAATCGATTGATTGATCTTGAGGGAGAAATGGAATAATTGAGGTGATGGAGGGATCTCTGGTGTTGTGAGGATCTCGTGAAATTTAAAAAGTGAATCAGCTGAGGAATTTGGTTAGGAGAATGGCCGATGTACCAATGAACATGGGGCCCAACAGGAAAATGTCATTTGGCTTTACGAATAAACTCAATGGCATCGAGGGCAAGACTCCCTTTCTCATTGGTGTCTCTGGAGGTACGGCCAGTGGAGAGGTACATTATTTGGCATTTTTTTTTCCCCTCGACTGCCAAGTAATTATTCAGTTATTCGCTCCTTCGATATTTAGATAACCTGCTGCACCCCAATTTATCATATTTCTCTCATCCTCTCGAGGGGCATGTTAAATTGTTTCCAAGGGATTAATGTCTGTGAGAATTCATTGGAGATTCAGATATCCTTGAATAATCCTCAAGATAAATGCATTTTTTGTAGAGAACTGAGAATCGAGAATTTATCGAATCTTATCCATTAATTAAAGAGCGAAGAGAATTCCAGCTGGATCACATGTTGAGTGGATATTTTTAGTCCACAGTTTGCAAGAGAATAATGGAAAAACTGGGTCAAGTGGACATGGATCACCAGGAGTGTCAGGTGGTTAGCATATCCCAGAGGACAGCTTCTACAGGGACAATCACTCAAACTCTTCATTTAGCCCTCATTTTTTATTTAAATATATTCTTACAATTTTCATCATTTGTCCTGCACAATTTTTTTATTGAAGGTTTCTTGGTAATTACAGCTCTCGGTCTTTCACTGGCAGCTAGATTCGTAGTACACCGATGGCGAAACATCAATTCGGTTCTGAAAATAAAATTCAACAATTATCTCAACTCAAATCATCTTGAATACAGAGAAAGAATTTTTATTCTCTCCCTATTGTCTCTCGAATTTTCTCTCCACGAGAATCAATTTCATCACCGAGTATCTCCTCTCACGTAAACAAAAATCACAAACTAACAAGTTGTTTATAAAATCATAATCGGTTCTCGATCGGATTGCTGTTTGTTGATTTTCTTGTTTTGATTTGTCACAAAAAACACGTGTCAATCCTGAATATTGCGAAAACATATTCGAAAAATTAAATTCAGTACATGAAAAAATAAAAAATTCAATTTTCCTTTAAAAATTGACAGCTCGAGGCGTTCAATTTCCGAGAAAACCATAGAAAACATCCATCTATGCCCTCGATAGGACGATCTTATATATTTTTATCTGGAAGTCGAACTAGATTTCTCTCAATAATCATAATTTTCTCCAGAGAATATTTACTTCCATTTTCAGGTGTTTATTCCGTCTGGATTCTCCTCCCTGTCGATTAATTCGTGGAGTATGCAATAATTATTATTGATTAATCGGTCATCAAATTAAGTCAACTCACGTTTTTAATTTCCTGATGATTGAGTCACAATCTAGGTGATTTTGTCGTGCCATTCGTGAGATTATCCTTTTATACTCATTTTTACTTCGCACGCACGGAAATTATTGATACGACGAATCAATAATAATTATTAATAATGCGAGAATCTTCTTCCGCTTTGCGGAGTGATTGTTCGAGTTTATTGGCAATTTCGGTTGATTGATTTCCCTGTAGATGCGAATTTGTTGTTATTCATTCGGAAATGATAATAAATATTTAAGAATCGAATTGTTTTTCATGTTCACAGCCATTTTTTTGTAAATATATCTGTAAATAAGATTGGGCACGAAGGCACGAATTGATTTTCACGACTGAAATCGAGAATTAATTTTTAATTAGAGTTCTGCTCGTCATTAATCTGCCATTTTGTGGTATATAATAATTAATGGTAATTAATTGGGAAAAAAAATTCAATTTTTTTTGCAGTGAGCTA